AATCGAAACATTTCCTCATCAAAGTACTCGTCTGCTACAGCTGCCAGCACATCTGTCGTAGCAGTTTTGCTGTGCACATGTTTAAATTCACATTTCTCTCTCGTGTATTTTTACAAGATATTTTCATGAAATGCTGTTTACTAGTGCAGCTTCTGGAACAGCACTGAGATTCACATTAGCATCGTCGCCTTTAAACTGAGCTGCCAGTGAAGACTACTGAAGCAGGTCACCTGTGCCCTACAGCTGGATTCAGACTAAAAAAAGGCCTCTCATCTTTAACAGCAGCACTGTGTTTACATTTACACATTTTAACATCCTACAATCCTTCCAATTGGAATCAAACCCATGCTGTTATCCCCCCGCCCCGGACTAACCAGTCTTTCTGAGTGAGGGTGTGATCCACGACAGTTCCAGGAGGGGGAGTGCCGAAGCTGTTTGCAGCCCAGGAGTAGAGAGTGGTATTAATGCGCTTTTGTACCACGATGAAGACCAGCTTGGGCTCGTAGCTGGGGAAAGTCTCAAAGCATTTGATCAACTGTGGGATCTCGTACTGCTCCACCATTTTAAGCTGGCTGTCTGAGACACCATCTCTGTACACCACGATCTTTTCTGGCAAGTTGTGGTTCACCTGTTAGACATGCGTAATCAAAGTAAAGTTATACAAGTTTAATACAGTAAATGAAAATGCATTAAACCCAGCAAAACTTGATAACACCCAGAAACAAACTACACTTTTATTTTTATTACACTGCGTTCACTGATAGGTGAGAATTCGTGGTGGTTTACAGAGAGGAGTACTGAATCTGAAGTGCATTTGTACCTCATAGTACTTCTGCAGCGCAGCCAGTAAGCAAACCCTGAAGCCATGGATCAGTTCCTCATTAGGGGTCTGGAAAATTACTCTGGAGTACCAGCGGGTCAACGAGCTGTAGGGAACAACACGCTGCTGTTAGGACGCATGCATAGTGCATCTCGCCAATTCAAGGTCAAATAATTTCTCGTTTGTGCACTCATGTGCAAAGACATGAAAAGGTTTGTCAAG